TTGTTCCCCTGCCCCCGCCCCTCCCCCCCCCTTCCTTTTTTTTAGACGGTGAAACAAAGGTGAGTACTTTCAGACCATGCTACCCATTTGCAGAATCTTCTCTACAGCTTAGTTGGAGGAAGATGATGTTCTGGCAGGAACTTTTTTAGACTTCCTCCCCCGCCTCCTTGTAATTTTAGTATGTACAGGTAGAAATGAATGCTGTTCCTCAGTATACTAATACAAAGGAATACACTTTTTTCTTTTACAGTATAGGTCATATATGACTCCTCTGAAGAGAGGACTAATGTTCTAACTTGCTGTGTACAATTTAATAGATGTTCTTCTACTTATGTTTGGAAACTAGGGAATTACTGCATATTTGTTAATTGCAGAACTTAAAGTGACATGTCTAAAAAGCAAAAAAGAAAAAGTGCCAAGGATTGGTGTATATGCAACCCCCCCCTCACTGGTAGCTCAATGTATTGTAACTCTGGAAAGAGAGGAATGCTGTTTATTTCATGGTGAAACTTTGAATTAATCTCTAGTTAAAATTTTTTTTCAGAGGAACTGAATTTTAAGGAAATAAATTTCTCTGTATTCCACTGAAGCAGTATACAATCACAAGTTAATTGGAGAGGAGGCTCAATGATGAGGGAAGCATGGATGATTAGTTTTGTTTATGTTCAGATCAGAATAGACTAGATTAGACTGTTTTGGTTGGAAGGGACCTACAAGGATCATCTAGTCCAACTGACCACTTCAGGGCTCACCAAAAGTTAAAGCATGTTCTTAAGGGCATTGTCCAAATGCCTCTTTTTAAGGCACTGACAGGCATGGGGCATCGACCACCTCTCTCGGAAGCCTGTTCCAGGGTTTGACCACCCTCTCGGTAAAGAAATGCTTCCTAATGTCCAGTCTAAACCTCCCCTGGCGCAGCTTTGAACCATTCCCACGCGCCCTGTCACTGGATCCCAGGGAGAAGAGATCAGCACCTCCCTCTCCGCTACCCCTCCTCAGGAAGCTGTAGAGAGCAATGAGGTCGCCCCTCAGCCTCCTTCTCTCCAAGCTAGACAAACCCAGAGTCCTCAGCCGCTCCTCACAGGACATGCCTTCCAGCCCTTCCACCAGCTTTGTTGCCCTCCTCTGGATGCATTCAAGGACCTTCACATCCTTCTTAAATTGTGGGGTCCAGAACCGCACACAGTGCTCAAGGTGAGGCCGCACCAATGCTGAATACAGCAGGATAATCACCTCTTTTGACCGGCTGCTTACGCTGTGTTTGATGCACCCCAGGATGCGGTTTGCCCTCTTGGCTGCCAGGGCACACTGCTGGCTCATACTGAGCCTGCTGTCGACCAGCACACCCAGTTTTTTTCTGAAGAAGTGTTGTTCTGTAGAGAAGAGGTTGACAAAAGCCTTTTAGGCATGTGAAGTTACAGTAAAAATGTCTAATACTGGATTTAAGCTGGAGGAAACAGTGATAACCAGATATAAAAGTTTAACTGAGAAAGTACAATTTGTATTTGGTACAAAAATGACTCTGTGACTAGGTAATTATAATTCATTCACATCTTTGCTTTGGCTTACATGAAGCTATGTGAGAGCGTAATATTTGCCAGAAGAGGGTAATGAAAACTTCATAGTCAAAGTTTGTGTCAGATAGCCCACGAGATACTGAGTGACACATTAGTTGGCAGATTGGGTAGGAGAAGGGGTACAAACAATAAATTACAACTAACAAGAATTTGCCATTATTGCTAATAGTTCTAACTTTTCTGGTGTAGTGACTTGGTGAGCTCTTATGCAGATAAGCTTCTCAGTGTCTTGAAATTTAGGCTCCGTTGAGACTAACAAAAATTTTGCCACTGATGTAAACGGAATCAGAATTTTGTTCCTTTTCCTGTAACCTGCAAAAGGAGGTCTAATTTATGTAGTGCTTAGACTACTGATATCGGAGGCCCATGCACAATTGATGTGTGATGTTACTAGCCATAGTGAAGCTAAACTGGTGTTAGCAATGATTGGACTTTTTGCAAAGTGGTGTAAAAATATGTTACTTTTATTTTTATGTTACCAGATATTCTACAGAAGCAGCTCTGTCTCCTGTAGTTCTCCGCAGATTCAGAGGCTGAATCATACCTCATGCCTCTTTCCAGAGTTGCATTTATTCTTTGTTTGCATTGTCTTAGCTGCATTTTTCTTTGTGTGGCCTTTATTGCGGCTGGGGGGGCAAGTCAGCTGAAAACAAACTGAGCTGAGTGAAAAGGCTCAGTCCAGCAAACTAAATCCAAGAATATTTTAACATTCATCTTCATTAGAGCTATCCCAAAAAATCTTTATCCCTCAAGTACTAGGAGAGATTGCCACATTACAGTGACCTGAGTGTTACCAAAATAATCTTGGAAGGTTTGCTATTTAGATTTTGCAAGACAAAATATGTAAGTTTTTGTCTTGCTGAGGAAATATGTTGAAAGGAGATGTGCTTCATGTCCCCCCCCCCAACCCCCACTTCTAGAAGATTATAAAGATGTGTACTTGTTTGTGCTTCCGTTCACCATGCCTAGTATGTCATTTCTAGTTTCTGCTGTGTTTTGTCATATATTGTTGTTACCTTTCTGTGGCTGATCACTGTGCACTGATGAGAGGTAAGCAATTCAGATATGGAAGAACAAGCAAGGAGTTAAAGGGTGAGCTAGAAGCCCCGTTTCTTTCAAGTCTGGCTTGTGTTTTGGAAGGCCATGTTGATCTGCTTAACATCAGTGTGCACCGGTCAAATCTGGGATTAGCTTTATTGCCTTGAAACAAATTTCCATTTTGTACATGCATCTGATTCCCTGCCTAGTGGTATGGACAGCTTTATGTGGGCCTTGGTGGATTTTGATCTGGCTAGTCCTGACTTTGAAATTCTTTTAAATTAGGACATCGTATGGTTTGGTACTTTGCTGAATTGCATAGAGCCTTCTGCCAGAGATATAAAGGTACTTTACCTCATGGTCTGTTTTCTCCTCTTAAATTTAACTTTAAAAAAAAAAAAATACTTGTGGTCTTGGAGTCTTAATAACTAACTTGGTGCGTTTCTTGCAGGAGCGACTTCCAGTGGCTTGTGATCAGACTTTGTATTCAATTTGTGTCTAAAAACATAGTAATCCATTCTGTGGACTGGTAATTGCATCTTTTGTATATGGAAGTTATAATTAATTGCCTTGTTGTCTTGTTAAGATTCATTATGGAAAGGTAACAGATAACATCTGTAAAATTCAGCAATATTACTCCTAAATGTCTTTCACATCTTTCACTGTTCCCTTGGGCAAAAGATAAGAGTTAGATGGATGTGCTGAGATATTATTTCTGCCTTTCCCATTGAAGAAGGTTTTATTCTTAGCCTCTTGAAATGGGGTAGGTCAGAAGGAAGATCTGCTGCTGCAAGACAAGACGGTCATTAGAACCAGAAAGTTTTAAAATTAATTTTTGTGTGAAGTGGTTACTGTTATCAAGGAAGGCTAATAAATAGTATCTTTTTGGTCATGAAGCCTCTAGCCTGATGAATGGGAAGGAGGAGGCTTTATTACAATCATATAGTCCTTTTGGGGGAAGAGGGAGATGTAATGTTTTCAGAGTGTTCTAGAAAGGGAGATCTTGTATGAATCCCAGCAATGCATGCTTCCTCAGGGCATTGAGCCTTCTCCAGTCCGTCAGGGCAACAGAATGCAACTGGAAACATCATTTTGCTGTTTGCAATGTTACTCAGATTAAACCTGTGCAAGAGGTTTAGTACATACGCTGTCCACTAAAGCAGCCCTGTTAGTGGCCACAGTCCCTTGAAGATGAAAATTGGGCTCTTTTTCCAGTGAGACCTGATAATGTAATTCAGAAGGCAGATCTGACAACTGTTAAAATACTAATTATCAGAGTAAATAGAGGAAACAAATACAGAGGAGCAAAATAGAGGAATTAATTACTTTCTCTGGGAGAATTGTTAGTCTAAATGTTGAATGATAATGCCACTCATCTGTTTGACAGTTATTCAGTTTACCAGATTTCGCATGCTGCTTAGGCAATGTTTGTTCCTTTCTTTTGGCAAAACTCTGTTCTTTGGTTTTATTTCCAGAGGAAGATATATTTGCATGCAGTTTGTTTTAATTTGGAAAGTCTGCATATAGACAGGCAGTTTTCTATAATAGTGGTTTGTTCTTGCTGTAAAATATCTGTGGATGTAGGCACAAAGATGAATAGGCAAACTTGCTCTTACCTGAAAAGTTCTTAAATAAAAAATCAACACTAATCGACACTGGATGTAAGCATACTGTCCAGAATCAAGTTGGAAATTGTTCTCTAGATTATTCTTGACTGCTGGACTGCCAGTGAG